TTTACTGTTATGCAACCATTAGCCACATGACTACTTGGGTTTTGCTCCTCAATGTATTTCTGGCACTTAGGAGCTAAATAAATATCTGATTAATAATCTGATAATAAGTTATTCTCTTTGTTTGTTGTTGTTTTTTTCTGGCAGGATCTCACTCCATCGCCCAGGCAGGAGTGCAGTGGCACAATCTCGGCTTCGCCGCAGCCCCGGCTTCACCACAATCTCGATTTCCCAGGGTCAAGATCCTCCCACCTCAGCCTCCCAAGTAGCTGGGACTACAAGCGTGCACCACCATGCCTGGCTAATTTTTGTGGTTTTTATAGAGACAGAGTTTCACCATGTGGCCCAGGCTGGTCTGGAACTCAGTCTTGAACTTAAGCGATCCACCTGTATCAGCCTCCCTAAGTGTTGGGATTACAGGTGTGAGCCACTACGCCCAGCTGACAATTCTTGTAAATTCAATACTACTATCTATTTAGTGTAATGTGTGAAATGAGTTGGTACATTAAAATAGCCTTTATTAGGCGAGGCACGGTGGCTCACGCCTGTAATCCCAGCACTTCGGGAGGCTGAGGCGGGCAGATCACGAGGTCAGGAGATTGAGACCATCCTGGCTAACACGGTGAAACCCGTCTCTACTAAAAATACAAAAAATTAGCCAGGCGTGGTGGTGGTGGGCACCTGTAGTCCCAGCTACTGGGGAGGCTGAGGCAGGAGAATGGTGTGAACCCAGGAGGCGGAGCTTGCAGTGAGCTGAGATCGCACCACTGCACTCCAGCCTGGGCAACAGAGCAAGACTCCGTCCCACAAAATAAAGAAAACAAGCAAACAGACAAACAAACAAAAAAAAACCAGCCTTTATTACATTACATTCCAAATACCCTTTATTATTTCCATTTTGAATCAAAGTTGGCTACTCACATATTAACCTACTGCCTCTCTTATAGAAACCTCTAACCTTTCTACGGCTTGGCGAACACCGACTGTGGTCAGGTTCATATACACATACCATACTTCCCTTTTCTTAATCAAGTAACCCCCTCCTCCACTCCTAGCCATGTTACAAAACACTTTATAAACAAAGGAAAGTTCTTTCATAAGAATATATTCATTAGCCTGCTATGGTGGCTCTTGTCTGTAATCCCAACACCTTGAGAGGCTAAAGTAGGAGGATCATTTGAGCCCAGGAGACTCCATCTCTATTTAAAAACAAACAAACAAACAAAAAAACCAGGTACATTGGGCTCATGCCTGTAATCCCAGCATTCTGAGAAGCTGAGGTGGGCGAATCATCTGAGGTCAGGGGTTCAAAACCAACCTGGCCAACATTGCGAAACCCTGTCTCTACTAAAAATACAAAAATCAGCTGGGCGTGATGATGGGTGCCGGTAATCCCAGCTACTTGGGAGGCTGAGGCAGGAGAATCACTTGAATTCGGGAGGCGGAGGTTGCAGTGAGCCAAGATCACATGCCATTGCATTCCAGCTTGAGCGACAGAGCAAGACTCTGTCTCAAAAAAAAAAAAAAAGGAATGACTTCATTGATGAAAATATAGTCTTCACTTAATGTATGCACCTTCGTAACACTGATGTGATGGAAATAAGTTCTTGGTACAATATATTTCTAGTCAAGACCTAAATATAGATCTATTAACACTAAGTAACTGAAAACGATTTTCAGATATAAAAGCAGCCTCTTCACTGTGTCAAATTTAGTTTAGCCTAAAGCTGCTTCCGTATTTTAAATTCGGCCCAAAAGTTTCTCATACCTAGTAAACTGTAACCTAACTGGATGTGTAAAGAGACTGTAACCTACTCTTACACCAATCACAGAGTTTTAGTCAAAGGTGGGCAACTGCCAAATCATGTTCAGATAAGGCAAATGCTGAGCTGTAACCAATCCAGTTTGTTTCTGTACCTCACTTCTATTTTCTGTATGTCACTTTCCTTTTTCTGTTCATAATTATTATCCAACCACATGGCAAACCTGAAGTCCCTCTGAACATATTCTAGGTTGGGAAGGGTGCCCAATTTGTGTATCATTCTTTGCTCAATTAAACTCTGTTAAATTTAAGAAGGCTTTTTTAAATTTTTTTCTTTTTTTTAGAGACAACGTCTTACTACATTGCCCAGGCTAGCCTCAAACTCCTGGGTTCATCCTCTCACCTCGGCCTCTCAAGTACAAGGGTCTACAGGTGTGCACCACCACACCTGGTTAGGTAAATTTTTCTTTTAACAACTGGATGGATAACCTGTAAAACAGAAATGTTCTACTTCTAATACTCTGAAAATCGAGTATTCATTTTCAGAAATGCTAGGTCTTTTAACTCATTTAGAAAATAAATTCAAAAACAATAGCTACACCTACAACTCAACAACAACAAAAAAACTCAATTCAAAAATGGGCAATGGGTCTGAATAGACATTTCTCTAAAGAAGACAAACAAAAGGTCAATAAGCAGAAGTCTGTCACTAGCCTTCAGAAAAATGCAAATCAAAACCACAATAAAATCCAAAAAGGTTATTGTCAAACAAACCAACCAGCAAACAATAACAACTGTTGGCAAGGATGTGGAGAAAATGGAACCCTTGTGCACTGCTAGTGGTAACATAAAATGGTACAGGTGCTGTGGAGTAAGGCAGTTCCTCAAAAAATTGAATGTACCCGGCGCAGTGGCTCACGCCTGTAATCCCAGCACTTTGGGAGGCTGAGGTGGACGGATCACCTGAGTTCGAGACCAGCCTGACCAATATGGAGAAACCCCGTATCTACTAAAAATACAAAATTAGCCGGGCGTGGTGATACATGCCTGTAATCCAGCTACTCAGGAGGCTGAGGCAGCAGAATCGCTTGAACCGGGGAGGCGAAGGTTGCGGTGAGCTGAGATAGTGCCATTGCACTCCAGCCTGGGCAAAAGGAACGAAACTCCATCCCCCCCCCACAAAAAAAAAAAAATTGAACGTAAGGCTGGGCAAGGTGGCTCACGCCTGTAATCCCAACACTTTGGGAGGCAGAAGCAGGGAGATTATCTGAGGTCAGGAGTTTGAGACCAGCCTGGGCAACACGGCAAAACTCCGTCTCTACAAAAAATACAAAAATCAGTCGGGCGCAGTGGCAAGCACCTGTAGTCCCAGCTACTCGGGAGGCTAAGTCAGAAGAATCGTTTGAACCTGGAGGGCAGAGGTTGCAGTGAGCTGGGATTGCACCACTGCACTCCAGCCTGGGTGACAGTGATACTCTGTCTCAAAACAAACAAACAAACAAACAAAAAAACAGTAATTTATACTATTATAGTCCCCAAGTTTAAAATTTGTATACGATGATGGAGGAGCTATGCAGCGATGGATTGAGGTTATTAATAAATGATTATAAAAGCAGTTATTTTATTGGTGGGGAAACATTGACAAGTCAACAGATTCATTTCAGCCATTTTCTGTCCTAAAACAATGACATTCTAATAAAAAACACACTAACATTTACACCACCCAATGAATTATGCCACTGCAATACGCCCTTCTACATTTTCCAAGAACATAAGCTGTGTCACACAGGTGTCTAAATTAGTAATAATATTAAATTGGAGAAACTATTACTCCAACTTTAAAAGCAGCACGGATTAAAAAAGTAAGAAGGGGGCAAGGCACGTTGACTCGCCTGTAATCCCAGAACTCTGGGAGGCTGAGGCAGGCGGATCACTTGAGGTCAGAAGTTCGAGACCAGCCTGGCCAACATAGTGAAACCTCGTCTCTACCAAAAACGCAAAAATTAGCCGGGCGTGGTAGCGGGCGCCTGTAGTCCCAGCTACTCAGGAGGCTGAGGCAGGAGAATCGCTTGAACCCGGGAGGAGGAGGTTGCAGTGAACGGAGATCGCTCCACTGCACTTCAGCCTGTGCGACAGAGCGAAACTCTGTCTCAAGGAGAAAAAAAAAAAAAGGGGCTCCCAGTGGATATACAAATTATTATCAGTTCATTCAATTCCATCAACAAGCACTTAGTAAATGCACAGTACCTGTGAGAAAACCAGGCCAACAAGCATTTCAAGGTTACCAAAAAAGGAGAGTTGAAAATAGCCTCACACTAATCCAGCTCTAAAAAGACAAATAATTCAAAACCACCCTTTAATGTCTGTCTCTCTAAACAGGTGCACCCCAGTTAATATTAATAGTCTGCATTACTATTGGTAATGATTCTGGCTACCATTTTAGATTATAAGATCCTTCAAAGTAAATGCCCAACTTTTTTCATTGATTAGAAGGCGAAACGGGGAACCAAATGAAATAATTCACCATCTTTCTAAAAGTCAGTTTGATTTCAACTGATTACAAACAAAAAGGGCTTAACAGTTTCCCACTGCGCACACGTGCCAACCGATTCCATTTCCTACAACCTCATCTAGGAAACCAGGCGTGCCACGTGAACCCTAATGTTATACAAAGTGTCCCCCTCCAGCCTGGCCTATGCAGAGCGCATTCTAGACAAGGCCCCTAGTGCACCAACAGCCCAATTTTGGCTATATTCTCTGAGCGATTTAAGGAAGTCTGCAACCACTCATCTCACATGACCTTAAAAAGGGGCGCAGTTGAGCCCAGAATAAACCACACTCCTTTTTCTTCTATATCAACTTCACTGCCCAGTATGAAGGAAGTGGGCGGGGAAGAGGCGCAGCGCCAGCGGGCAGGATAGGTCAGCAAAGAAACGTGGGGTGTCGCGCCATCTACTCTGGAGGGGCTGGAGGTGAGGGGCACGCCCGCTCACGGCACTGCAGCCGCTGCAAATCCAAGGCTGCCACACCCCCCGGCACGGCTTCACCTTCCTCTTTTTCCAGCGGAAAGGGGGCCCTCTCCACGGAACGCCCCACCTGCTGTAGTCCTCCACACCCCGAAACGCAACGCCCGGGAGCAGGCGCGGGTGGGAGGCGGTGCTGGGGGGCAACAGGCAGCGAAGGGCCGCGGCGACCTGCAACCCGCGCATGCGCAGATCCGGGTACCCGCCCGTTTACCTACCGTTGGAACCGCGATGCCCCGTTCCCTGGCCGCGGCCGCTTCTCCAGGACCCGCGGGGACCGCAAGAGGGCGAGAACTGAGGCCCCAAGTGGCTCCGCGGCCGGGAAGCCTCTTCCTGGGGCGGCCGCTGACGGGAGGTTAAAGCTACGGCTGTGGCGCGGGGCCAGCCCGGTAAGCGACCCCCGGATATCCCCGGCGGTGGTGGCGGCGGAGACGCGGAAGAGGAGGCCGGAGTGGCGACAGAGGCGACGGCTGCGGTGCAGAGCCTCCCTAACGGCGAGCGGGAGGAGAGCGGCTGGCGGGCGGAGGCCGGGCCGGACGTGACGTGCGTGGGAGGGGGCGGGGCGGGCCGCTGGCGGGGGCGGGGCGGCGAGGGTCCCCACCCCCACAGCATCCCGGGCCGCGGCCCTGGGTCCTGCAGGCTTGAGGACCGCGGTTCCTCTCCCACCATTTGGGCTCCTGAGTTAGGGTGCGAGCAGCCAGGCGCGGGCCCAGGGCGGGTTGTGGGATCCTCGATTTGGGAGATTGGGAAGCAGAGAGGACACTGGGGAGAGGAAGTAGGAAAGATAAAGGGAAAATCCGGAACACAGAGATCGCTTCTGGTCTCTGCAGAGGAAGCCATGCCCCTCCCTGCAGGCGGCCAGAAAAAGCCGGGGCCCCCATATCCAGGTGAGGAGCACAGAGACCTGAACCGAAAACCGCAGGGAGAGGCCTAAGCGGTGACTCCCGTTCCCATTCCCAAAGATGTGAGTTAGGTCCAGTACCACGGGGCTGCACCTGCGTCCTGCCCGCCCCCACCCTACCCCTTCACCTAAAGACCTGACCTAGACTCCAGAGAGAACTGTAAGGCTTCGGTACCTTGACAGTCTGGGACTGTGGAAGTCGACAGGCTGCGGGCTCACTGGGAGCTTCGTATACTAAAATCAGCCAGCTCCGGAGGCAGAGCTGAAAGGAGGCAGAAAGAATGAGCTCTCTGAACTTGAGAGTTGGTACTTACTTGTATAGCTACCCAGACCAACCCTACAACTCCCTTGAGCTCACAAAGGTATGAATATTCAGCCAATCTCTTCTTTGCTATAGTCTGTTAAGGGCTTTGAGATCTTCCATTTGGCCTCCTTGACGGCGGGTAGATCAACACCTGCACAAAAAATAGCAGCCACCACAATTCAGTTGTCCCTTACCTGCCTGAGCTGGAAGTCGGTAACCTGAAAAATGTAAAACAAGAACCCTCATAGAACTTGGGACAAGATTTGAAAAAAATAAAGTCATCCTATGAAATGATATGTAAATGGGCTACAGAGGCCAGAGTGTCTCCCACATTTCATCAGAGAGACTAACCCACCTGTAACCTAAGTGTCACATACCCAGTTGATGCCGTCATAACCGAAGGGTGGGGTCCATAAAGAGTCTAAAACCAGAAGAATCTGAATAAGAATGTTCTATGAGTTTCCCAGGAACTCTATCCAGGAATGAGTCAACTGATTCTAATGACCAGAACCAACACTTACTCTCAGGGCAGTTAAATCTGAATTCAGATTCACTCACTCATTCAACAGATACTTAGTGAATGCTTACTATGTTCTAGTCTCTTAAGATACATCAGTAAATCCCTGCCTTCGTGGAGTTTATATCCTAGTAAACCTAAATTCTGGATCTCCTTTAAGAGCATACAAAGGCCCATACTCTGATTCCAAACTCAGCCAGTAGCCTTTCCATCATTCTGGAAGTCTCTCGAATAAATCTGCATACCCAATAAGAAGCGATTGTCCAAGGCATATGACTAGGACTAGTTATACTAGCTGTACAGTTTTTGTCAATAAATTCATATCATGGTTTACAAATCGGACACTGTTCACTGGGTTGAATTGTTTTATCCAAATTAATTTCTCGGAGCCTGATTAAACTTGAGTGAAGTGAAATAAAAGTTTCCAAATCTGCCAAACAGGATCAACAGAGCCTGATTTCAGAGCAGCCCAGTGAAGGTGCAGCCTGTGCATTTAGCCTTGTATCTCTCTTTAAATATCTTAAATGAAAGCTTTACCTGTGATTCCATGCTTGGAGAAGAGAAGCAATATGATTGCTTCAAAAGCTTTATCGTAAGTGAGTAAAAGTCTTGAGAGTAAATCCAAAGAGAGTTAAAAATTTCCTCAGCCTGCCCTACATATGCAACACAGGCTTTTGTTGACATAACTGACTGTAATAAATACTTTGCTCTGAGTATGAAACCTAAGATGTAAGCTCCCAGAGGGAAGGATTCCCTTGCCTTTTTGTGTGTATGTGTATGTGAGACAAGGTCTTGCTCTGTCACTCAGGCTGGGGTGCAGTGTCTGGATTATGGCTCAATGCAGCCTCAACTTCCTGACCTCCAGCAGCATTCCTACCCTAGTCTCCTGAGTAGCTGGGACTACAGGGACATGCCACCATGCCCAGCTAATTTATTTATTTTTTTTTTAGAGATGGGTTTCCCTATGTTGCCCAGGACTGTCTTGAACTCCTGGCCTCAAGTGGTCCTCCCACCTCAGCCTCCCAAAGTGCTGTGATTACAGGCATGAGCCACCGTCCCTGGCATCCCTTGCATTTTTATACCCTACCCACAAAGTATGGGATCTTAAAAAACAAATGAATTGATCAGTGACCATTTTCCCCCTCAAGAACTCCAGAACATATCCTTGGAAGATATATTCTTTAGATCCCACTTGATAATATAAAAACAGTATGTTCAACATAGGGAGCACATGGGCTATAATTCAAAACAAACTTTTATTTTGTGTCTTTTGCCATGCCTTTCAATTTGTGCAGTGGGAGTAGATCTGTCATGTACCTAATTGAAAACTCAGGCAGGTTCCATGAGTTTTTAGGGGTTCTGCGGTCTCCTTAGGAATAGAGTCCTATTGTCATTGAGTCACGAAGAGTGAAATGTTTTCCTCTTTTTCAGCTGGGAACAGTTGTCTCATTGCTTGCCCCAAAGAGGGGACCATAGTCATCTTTAACCTGCCTAGTCTTTCTCCTCCCAGCTTAACTAACCATAACCAAATCTGGGGAACGCAGGGAGAAAAAGGAGCAGGAAAGTTGTTAACTTTGTATGATGGTTTGACATTCCCTGGGCAAGGTAGATGCTTAAAGCTGACCTTTTTTTCATGGATACCTCAGAGGCCACCACCATCCCCCTTCTCTGATGGTTTCTCCCCCATAATTCTATTGGTCTAAGTGTAAAGCTATTTTGGTAGTTCTTTACTTCTTTCCACACACCTCCAACTACTTGTCTGTTGAAACCTGGGCATCTCTGTAAAGGCCCTGTCAGATAGGACCTGAGATGACTCTCACACTCCTCCATTTGCAAGCGACCCTTTATTGTGGGACAAGGTTGTGCACTCCGTACCCTAGGGGGTGCCGTTCACATCATCCTCACTGTAGTTTTGTATGTTATTTATTTTGATGTTTTTCCAGCAGGTGGCAGTAAAGTATTTTGTCCAAACTAAATTACAACGACTACTTCCCAATAGATGGAAGCAAAGAATCTGGACGAAGGAGAGCTTTTTTCTCAAGGTGCTGCTGTGTTAGCCTAGTGGCAGCTCTGTATGGTTCACACCTGGTCCACAGGAAGCTCTCATGCACCTCTTGCCCGAACAAACTTGAGAGTACAGGCTAATTCCAGTGCATATTCAACATTCCTCCACTCTGCTGCCAAAACAGCCACCAGCCTATGGGAGTCAGACACAGGCCCACAGTGCCCCTCGGACTGCAAGAGGCACAGGTCAAGTGCTCTGAGCAGTTCGATTGAAGGCCCACTGCCTCAACTGGAGGTAAAAGGTAGGCAGGCACCTGTGGTAAGAATCACAGCTCACCAGCAACAGTCTCCAAAGACATTGTCCTCAATAATTCTGATTTGGCCATTTATAACTAAATAACTGTGAGTATTTAATCTACCTGCTTTGTCTAAATCCTCTGAAATTTCTAGAGGGGGTCTATCTCAGAACACTTTAGTTTTTTGGTGGATGGGGGGAAGAAGATGATTTCTTTTGTAATATCTTGTTGCTTCAGTTAAAACAGTGGTTCTCAACTGTGACAATTTTGGGGGACCATGTGTGCAGACATTTTTGGGTTTTTTTAAACATTTTTTTTCCTTCTGAATTCAGGATCTGTTGAATGCAGACATTTTTGATTGTCACCACTGGAGACAATCAGCTATTGGCTGGTGGGTGAAGGTCATGGATGCTGGTAAATATGCTTTATGGCACAGGACAGCCCCTACAGCAAAGAACAGCAATTCTGTTTGTTACAGAGACGAGAAAATACCTCACTAAAAGAATACTTCAAAATTACATCACTTTGTCTTTTTTCCTACAAATTCTTCACCTGTAGATGGAAACGTCACATTTCAATATATCAATAGAGTCAAAAATAGCATTTGTGATAGCTATTTGGCCAGGATGAGAAGTGACTGGTATAGACTAAGCTTTTGTGTTTCTAAGACTCCCTCTGGAGATGAGGCCATGCCAGGAAAATTGCTACTTAAGATAAGATTGTTATTTATTTGCAAGATGACTTTTAAGCCTAGAAAACAAGCATTCTATCCAGCTCATCTGAACAGGGACATTATGCCTCTCAGAAGTAAAGTCGTGAGTCACATCACCGTAGAAGGAATGTATCTTTGCTACAACCTGGACTGCATTCTAGATGCCAGAGAGGACCTCAGCATATCTGCCTCCCCAAGGTCACCAGTGTCACTGGAATGAGACTTGAAGTCGGGAAGTAGCTCTCTGTCTCTGCGGTTACTTTACAGATGGCTAATAATGCCCTCATTATTCACAGAGAATGTAAATGGCTTCTTCCCTCCTTTACATGAGTTTGACTGAATTCAGCTCTTCCAGATGTAGCAGGATGTTGAGCCCATCCCTTGCACCATCAGTAAGGAAACTTTTAATCAGGTGTCCTCCTTACCCTTACTGATCTCCCTGAGCAAGGCTGTTTGAGTACTAGGATAAGGATTAACTTGTGTTCAGTCAAGACTGCCTTGTCTTTCTTAATACAATGTTAATAAGAAACTGGAGCCACCCTAGCCAGAAAAGCCAAAAAGATATATTCTGTCCCTACCAATTATATCATTTAAAAGTAAAATAGATACAACAAACATTCCAAGCTCTGTTACTAGCCTTGTGACTCTAGTCAAGTTACTTAACTTAGTTGTACCTTAGAGTCCCCATCAGTCAAATAGGGAAACTAAGACTTAAATAAATTGGTATGCATAAAAGTGCTTTATTAGCCATATACTATAATTTTTTCAGTTCCCTCTCCTATACTGCATTCAGAGTCTTCGAGAACAATCTGAAA